ACGATCTATTTTTCGTCTGGAGCATACATATCGTTTCTCCTCACCACCCCCACCACCCCCGGCTCGGCGCTCGATGCAAGGGATGTATCAGTCCTCCATCCATTGCCATGAAGTTGGCGTTGTTCGACTTAGTCCAGCTTCAGAAGCCTCAGTCTAAACCTCACATATACGAGCCCTGCCTCAAGAATTTTGCATTTATACGTTGATTGAACTAAGCTCACACGGCATCTCAAACCCTGAATCAAACAAGACAATCCCCCCTCATCCCATCGACACCAGGAGCCCGCAACCAAGTCCCTTAGTCTACCGCAGTCGCCTATCAATACACGTAGACAAAATCCTCATTCATGCGATCTGTCACGTCATGCAAACCGTTATCCTGATCGATTTCGCGGCGGTAGTCGTGGACCTGCTCGAGCTGGACGGCGTCGCCCTTGAGCTGCTCCTCGTGCACGGGAGCGGCGGCGGTCCCGTCGGGAACCGGGTCCCCCTTGCCGAGCTCGCGACGCTTGCGCGCGTGCTGCTTGTTGAGGTACATGAGGTAGAAGGGGATCAATCTGATTCTCAGTCAGCTCGAAACGCCACGGGAGACACAAGACGTCCGGGGGAAAGAGAGGGGGGACGTACGCAGACACCACGCCCACGGTCACGAACATGACCAGGTTGGCGATGAGACCCGTGCGGTACAGCGGGGCCTCGTTGGTCGAGTACAGCAGCGGGCCGATGACGTTGCCGGCGCACATGCCCACGAACACCACGCCCGAGGTGCACTTCTTCTTGGTGTCCCCGCCGGTGTTCTGGGCCTGCCACGCGTAGATGAGCGGGGTAATTGCTGCTAGGGTGGAGACCTGGTCCGATCTGTCAGCGATTGTTGTCGACTTCAAAGAGGGGGGGATGGGAAGGTCAAGCGCTGCGAGAGACATACCAGGTAGTATCCGAACAGCAGCACGCCTTTCTGCTCGCGCGGCACCGTGAGCATCAGGACCGTGCCCACGGTGGGTAGGACGCTGATGCCGGCGATGGTCCAGCCCTTGGACCGGATCCGCGTTGCCACCCAGCCCGTGCCCAGGATCGAGAGCACCTGGATGACCCCGAAGGGGATGTTGAAGAGGATGGTCTCGAAGCTGCCGAAGCCGAAGGAGCTGACGATCAGGGAGCCGAAGGTCCCGATGCCGCCGCTGGCGATGCTGCATCAGACCGTCAGGGTTGGGATGTGTCACGGGGCGGAAATCAGGGTCGACTTACGAGATGGTAATGATGGCGACGAACCAGCCCCAGGTCTTCAGGTCCAGGGCCGTCTCCCACACGTGCTCCCAGCGCCACTGCCGCGTCGCGATCCCCATCTGGTTGGCGCGCAGCCGCTCCGTGGCGATGATCCGTTCCCGCATGGTGAGATACTTGGCCTCCATGGGGGAGTCGGGCATCAGCCAGAGGACCAGGGCGGAGTAAGCGACGGTCAGCAGGCCGCAGAAGAGAAAGATGGTCTGGTAGCGGTACATGGAGCCGTGCTGGATGTGGCCGAGCCCGTAGGTGAGGAGACTGCCCACGATCGAGGTGACACCGTTCATCGCGTTCCAGTAGCTGGTGCGCAGCGTCTGCTCGCGCCGCCGCCACCACATCTGGGTGATCGCCACGCAGGAGGGGGCGATGAGCGCCTCAAAGGCGCCCAGCACAAACCGCATCCCCAGCAGCGACTTGAAGTCGGTGCATGCCGACATGATAGACAGCGCGGACCCCCAGAAGAAGATCGCCGCGGCTAGTACCTTGCCTGTTGGGAGCTTGACCAGGGCCAGTGCCGCGAGCGGCTGCATCACCAGCTCCGCCAGATACAGAATTGACCCCAGCCAGGAGTACTGCCGGCCGTGCAGATGGGCATCGGTCGTGAGGCCGAAGATGGAGACGTAACTGAAGTACGCGTCAGTGGCAGCTCGTGACACCTGGGCATTAAAACATCCAGATACCTACCTCAGGGAGCTCTTGTCCAGCTGCTGGAAGAAATACGCCCACAGGATGATCACCAGCACCCGCTTGTCAATCCGCCGCACCACTGCCTTCTCCTCCTCAGGACTAAATTCGACCTCTTCCGCGGCTCGGTTGGCCAGGAACTGAACAGCATTGGCGCTTGCCGTGTACGTCGGAGGCTCGACCGGGGAGATCTCATCATTGTTGTGCGCCGTCATAGTGGCTAACGATGGTGGTTGGTGAGATGGAGTGAGGGAAAGAGGCCCTGTCATGTAAGTCCAACCTGGCAGCGTAGGGATCTTTGTACCTCGGTAGCTAGCCAGACGAACGGCTAAGTTAGGGTACGAGAGGATGCTGGATCGGAGAAAAGGGTCTTATATCCCTCTCATTCCTTCGACGGCGCCAGACTGCAGAAATGGCTCCGTGTCTGATCACGGGGACAGAAAGAATGCGGAGGCATGACAGAGGGAGGCTTGAAGTCTAGCTAGACGCCACATGAGACGAAGCTACTTTTCGCACCAATGGGGAATTCCGGGGGAGGGAAGGGGAAAGAACGAGTTGACCTTGCCCTAGGATTGCAATAGATAATTCAAAAAAATAATTCACAAGCGCGTTGCACTGCGATGCAAGGAATTGAAACCGGTTACGCAAGACTTGATGGCATGACTAGGGCTGGGTTACCCCACACATCCGAGGCGGTGTTTCGCCTCCAGAGGTTGAAGTCCACCATTATTGTTGTAGCGTATTGTACAGTACCTTCCACGACCTTTCTTCCGTTTCAGCCGTTCGCATTTCTTCCGTTTAAATTATCCGCTTGCCCACGTCTTTCCCGCATTCCGCTGGGTGTCTCTTGGCGTGGCTTCCCCACTCATCCGGTACGGGATTTTCTGCCCAGCTAGGGCTTGGCGTTGTCTTAGCTGGACACCAGCACCAGAGGCATCTCGCGTATTGACATTGGTGGAAGCGAGAGAGAGAAGCTGGAAAATGGTGCCACTATTATGATTGGCTGTATGTCTATCATAATGCTATCGGATTAAGTTGTGGTCTATGTGCACGTCCAGGAGCTTATGAGAGCTTACTGTAAATACACCAATGCACATCGCGAAGAAGAAGATTAAATCACATTAAATCACAGATTGAAATCTACCATCTATCAAACTAGCCGACTGGACCTAGGGCAGCGTGAGAAGGTCGCCGACGTGGACGACCTGCCCGGTGCGAATGGCGCGGTTCGCCGCCATGCCGGTCAGAATGGAGGCAGCGCCATTAACATGATTCGCTGCGCGCTTGAAGTCATCCTGTTCTGGAGCACCGCCGCCGAACAGCTCCCGGAGCATCAGAGTATCCCCTCCGCCATGTCCACCCGCCGTCTGCTTGACCTCGATCTCCCGTGGCGGCTCGAACAGGGGGCGCAGCAGCAGGGTGATGCGCTCGGCCGCACCCTCTTGGGCCTGCTCGCCCCCGGAATTGACGTAGCTGCTCTCGACCACCTCGGCCTCGAGTCGCCCACCGGTTCCGTTGAAGCTGACGCGGAAGCCTTCCCACGGGGCGTAGGCCGTCAGGGAGTAGGTCAAGACGGCGCGGTTCTCGTAGCGGACGATCACATTCATTGTATCCTCGATGCTGATGCCGTCGCTGAAGACGCTCTGATCGCGGTAATAGGAGTCCTCATGCTCGGCGTCGAGGTAGAGGGCCTTGAGAGTAGGGTTGCGGTCGAGGTGGAGGGCGAAGGGGTCGTCCTGGGCGGCGGGGCTGCCGTGGGCGCGGGTGTAGAATTGGCGCACCCCGCGACTCTCCGCGTTCTCCTTGCCGTAGAAGCGCAGGTCGCCCTGCGCAAAGACCGTGGCCGGGCGCGACTGCAGCCACCAGTTGACCAGGTCGAAGTGGTGGGTGGACTTGTGGATGAGCAGGCCGCCGCTGTTCCGGGCGTCGCGGTGCCAACGCCGGAAGTAGTCGGCGCCGTGCTGGGTGTTCAGCATCCACTCGAAGTGCACGCTCGTTACGGTGCCGATGGCTCCGGACCGAAGGACCTCGAAAATCTTGCTGTTATGCGGCGCGTACCGGTAGTTGAAGGTAACGCGCACCTTCCGCTGCGTCCGCTCCACCGCGTCGAAAATCTCCCGGCATCGCGGCGCGTCAATCGTCATCGGCTTCTCCGTCACCACATTGCAGCCCAGCTCCATGGCCCGCACGATGTAAGTGTGGTGCGTGCGGTCGATGGTCGTGACGATGATCTCGTCCGGCCGCGTCTCTGCCACCATCCGGTCGAAGTCGGCCGCCAGATAGGTTGGCACTACCCCTCCTCCGAGGCTTTCGACCTTGGAGCGGGCGTGGTTGAGCCGGGTTTGGTTGGTATCGCACAGGGCCACCAGCTCACTGGTCTCGCTGAAGTCGCGGGCCAGACTGGTGTAGAACATTCCGGCTCGGCCCCCGGTTCCCACGAGGGCATATCGTCTCTTGGGAGACGAAGATGCTAGCTGTGTCATGTTGCGAAGATTCGGGACGCGGACGGAAGGAGTAGACAAAGATAGCGAGGCACTTCTTCCCTTCCAGCCAGATTCCTTGACATATATACAGCCGAGGTCATGTTTTTCCAACTCTTTCATGATTGGTGGCATTTGGTAAGGTCGTATGCATGTTCGAGGAGGGGGAAGGCAGGGCATCAGCCGGATATTTTCAAATTGCCGGATGATGCGGGGGCGGGGCAAGCGGGTAAATTCCTGGGGAGGGGGAAGTTGCAGTCGATGGTTCTTACCTGCTCTACCTAACAACACCGACAACTGACCATATTTTGTAATCTGATCGAACTTGCATGGACGTTATGGAGGAGAACCATCTCCCGCGCACATCATTTGCGGAATCTTTGTCTTCAGAAGCGGGGTTGTACTATACAGACATATGCAGATCGCACGGATAGAGGGTCGATGGCCAATATAAAGGCAAAGCCAAGAGTTCCTGGGCTCCGACCAAAGACCCAACAAGGCAAACTCGCAGCAGAAGTCGTCCATTAACTCATTCAATCTCCACTCCCAGTCAAAATGATGATCTCGAGGACGCTAGCCCTCTTGGCCAGTGTGGCCCCGGCTCTGGCAGCCAAACCAGCCGCATTTTACTTGGCGGGTGACTCGACCACCGCGGCTCAGTCCTCTGGGGGTGGTGGGTGGGGGGTGGGATTCCTGGCCACGCTCACCGATGAAGCCATTGGCACTGACCTGGGGTATAACGGGGACACCACCGCGAGCTTTGTGGCGGGGGGAGCCTGGGCGAATGTCATCGATGCCGTCACCCGCAGTAAGGTCTCCTATCAGCCCTACGTGACCATTCAGGTAAGCAAGGGCCCGTTCTCAAAGAATCAAGTAAATAGCGGTCATGATATTATCTGACGGACATCTTTTTCGTATAACCTAGTTCGGTCACAACGACCAGAAGAACACTTCGGGGGTCACCCTCGGAGACTATGCCACGAACCTGCAGACCATGGCGGAGGCGGTAGTCACTGCTGGAGGAATTCCGGTACGTGAAGACATCCACATCATACCGTCACCCCTCAGACATTCGCATCATGACAAGGACCAACTAACCCACATTCATTTCTTCTCCCGCTGCCCAGATCCTAGTGACTCCCATCTCCCGCCGCACCTTCAACTCCACCACGGGAACGGTGATCGAGGACCTGGCCACCCAGCGCAACATCACCATCACCGTCGCGGAGTCCATCGCCGTCGACTATATCGACCTGAACGAGGCCAGCACCGTGTACCTGGACGCCATCGGGGCCACGGATGCGGCCAGCTACAACCGGATCTCCACCGACTATACCCATTTAAACCCGGTCGGCAGCGTCGTCTTCGGCAACATGGTGAGCTGGCTGCTGCTGACCACCACCTCGCTGGCCGGCAGCCTGGCCGACTATACCGTGCCCAACGCGGAGATCGTCGCCGCTATCGCCAATGGCACCTACATCTATCCCGACGTGTAGGAAATAGCGAATGCGTGTACCGGGAAAATGGAGGCCAGGTCGATCGGGAACGTTCGACTTTGGTCTGAGCAGATGGTGAGAAAGGCTGGTGGCTGGAGCTACTCCGTACCGCTCCTTTCTATATGCATTCTTTGTGTTAAAGGTACTCGTGGTAACTGAGAGCGTAATGATAATGAACGATATTTGACTTGTGTGAATAAGAGCCCATTCTTTAAGAACGGATTTACAGTCTCGTACGTGAGTAGACAAAAAAATGTCCAGTCCAAGCGTGCGGTAGCATGAGATTCGAGGCTGTGGAGAAGAGACGTTTAACCCATCCAACTTGACATCGCGAATTAGGCGCAGGACAAGAGATATGAACAAAGGCACAACAGTCGCCTACCAGAACACTCGCATCCTACATCGGCCCTCGGAACGAATTGGTGTGCATGACGCCCGGGAAATACTTAAGTTTCCAGCTGTTAGGGTTGCGAATGGCGGGTGCACGAAACGGAAGCGGGGGGCTCACCAGGGTATCGAACTCTATCCAGCTTGCCGACTCGGCGGCAGCACCGCTGCTGAGCTCTCCAGTGTCAAAGACCTCGAGACACGGAACTGAGATCCCCAGTAGCATGGCGTAGTCGGCGATGGTCATGTCGACCGGGTCGGGCGCAACGGGAACCCTCTGCTGGGCGTTATTGTTGGCGTACCGCTCGATCAGGCGCAACCCTTCCTGACGGAGCTCCTCCAGCACCGCCACGTACTGGGCCACCAAGGGGCTGTCATTCACGAACCGCGTCAGCTGTTCGCAGCATCGCGTCGCCGCATTGAGGTGCTGGTAATAGACCTCGACCGGAGCAGCCGCCTGCTGGATCGTGTGGACGAACAGCACCGTGGCGGCCGTGAAGGCATAGTAGCAGGTTGCCTAGATAGGACTGATCAGCTGCCGGCCGTACATGAGATGATCTCTTCATTGCGAAGGAAGGACCAACCTACCCAGAACGATCGATACATTGAGCTGGTCTGAAACATGTGATAGATACGGTCAGCGATGCACAGCGCCGCCTGCAAACACTTGCTGATCCCATCGTTCACCACCACGCCACCGCCACCGCCGTCGCCGTCCCGCCCGGTCACGAAGTTCGTCAGCAGCAGCGGTCGGTTGGTGAGGATGACGGCGTGCCAGTAGGTCAGGTTCAGGACGTCTCGCTGTCGTTGCAGGATGGGCAGCTGCGGCGCCGCGCTCCCGCTCTGCAACTGCAGAAATCCCGGCAAGTCGTGGCGCCACTGCGACAGCCTATCCGAAAACTCTCTGGCCAGGCGGCATTGGTCGGCCAAGGAGATGGGGCGGATTGCATAGAGGTGGCGCAGGATTAGTCCGAGGACCCGGTGAAGTCTGCTCAGAATCATCAGCTCAAAGATGCCACGCTACACTACCCGGAGGCTACGGGAGCGATGTGTGGTATATCCTACCTGTAGTATAGGACCGGCGCAACCATCACCGAGTAACCCTTGGGCACCGTGACTTGGAGGTCGACGGGCTCATCGACGAGATTGTGGTCCGCGGGCAGCTCCTGGTCGATGTCTTCGTCGTGGAAGATGCGCGGTCGGCCCAGCGTCAGGCAGAGGTGGATGTCCAGGCAGTAGGCAGTCCAGAAGGTGCGACGACGGCAGTCGAGACTGATGCGACTCGCCGAACTATCCGCGGGGGGGTTGATGATGCGCTTCCGATGCAGCCCTAACGCCAGCGCCAGGCGGGCAGTCGTGCCGAATAGACTCCAGCAGTGATTGACTCGGGACCGGGCCAGCAGCCAGAAGCATTGGTAGAGACGCGCCTGCACGCTGGCCAGGCAGACGGTCGCCCGTTCCCTGGCGAGCTGATAGTCGGCGGCGAGGAAGTACCGAATACTAATTTCCGGCCTCTGTCAGCCTAGAACAACCATGAGCTCGCAACAAGGATGGTGCATATGTGGATTCGAACCTTCTGTCTTCACCGTTCGGAAGTGGATCTTGGTTAAGATGCTCCTGCGCCATCGCAAAGATCATCCAGAGGACGGCGCGCCGGGCGGGGGCATCCACGGCCTGTCGCATGGAGCCCATTGTCTCGTGGAACTCGCGGAGCCACTCCTCGACCATCGGTTGGTGGACTATCCGATCGATCGGCACGGTGAAGTCGAAGAACCGCCGGAACAGGATGGTGCTCTCCTCGACCGAGAGCATGACAGAGGGGGTGGGGTTGTCGTACTCCGGCAGCGGTGCATCGCCAAAGGTGAAGGCGGATTGCGAGCCCTCGCTGGACCGGAGGCGCTTCCGCACACAGGCCAGGAAGGAGACCCCCGAGGCCGGACCAACATAGTGACCCTCGAGATCATTGATAGCTTCCAGCGATGCGCGAGAGGCGGGCTCCCTCGCTGCGCTTGCCCGAGCGTTCGCCCCGGCCAGGTCGAAGGGTCCCGGCGACGAGGGTAGGTCAGTTTGGGGATCCCTGACTTCCGAACAGGGGTGGGTCTCGACCGTTTCATCGACTGTATGCTGGTCATTGCTCAAGGAGATGGGAGTCGTCGCTATCTCCGCCCGGGGTTTCCGTCCCCGTTTGTGCGGAGCAGCAAAGATGCAGCTCGTGTGGTCTCGAATGCAGTGCGGGCATGGTTTGGTGCCAGTACATCGGATCTTCCTCCTGCAGTGGCGTGCATTTGATCAGAAATGCGGTTGAATCAAATCAGAGACATAGATTGCACGAACATCTGAGCATACTTACTTCTTGCAGTGGTCGCAAGCACGCGAAGCTCGCAGTCGCCGGGACAACGCGCCACTCGTTCTCGCCGGCGTGGGACCAAAAGCAGAGCCAGGGGTATCTCCACCAAGGATCGACGGATCAATGCGTCCGGAATTCATCAGTTCATTGCCAATATGTCGCATATTCGGCCTCAAACAGAATCAGGAGCGTGGTACAGGACAGAAAAATGGCAAATACTGTACAGCGAGGAAGGCAGGGCTGGAAGGGAGATTGTCTGATCATCGAATGCCGCCGGATAATTGAAATGGAGTAATAATTTATTGACTGACGGGAAACGGATAATTGGCTGACACGGGTCGGCTATTTTGATTTATTCAATCCCCATACGCATGCCAATCGGTTCTTAGGCTCGCTTAGACCTCTAGTCATTCATTAATCTCGGAAGTGAGTCTGCCGTCCAGGCCCTATAGGGGGGCGAACCGCCAGCCCGGGGAAAATGTGAGGAATATGTGTGGGGCCCCGGGTCTTTCCCCATGCTGGTGTGATTTTATCCTGTAGATATCACAAGGGGGAAGGGGATCACTATAGGACTATTATACTAACAGGTTTGCGACTAGAAAGCCGGGCTTCATGCGGCAGCCCTTAACCTCGGTCTAGCATGTTGAACAAGCATCGGTTTGGTCAATCCTTCGTCGCTCATTCTCTGTCACAATGGCACATTTGCCTGCAGCCACCGTCTTCCTGACGGCCTTATTGTCCGGGTCTGCCTACGCCGCGACGGCCTACATCGACCCGGACCTCACTCCGTCTTTCCCCCCCCGTGGATCCGGTTTCCTAGGTTGATACCCGCCGGACGGAGTATGATCGAATCGTGCTCAATGTCGACGGCGAGCCGTTCTATTATAATGGAGTGCAGCTGCGCATCGCTGAGATGAAGAGCATCTGGAACATGACGGATGCGCAGATTAGCCCTTTCTTTCAGCGTGTGGCCAACGACGGATTAACCGTCGTGAACTCGCAGATCACCTGGTGGGACATCCAGCCAGACACCTACTACAATGCCACCGAGTCGACCTACATCCGGGGCGGCAGCTACGCGACCACCAATTACGCTGACGAGGCCTCGCACGAGATCGGCTACGACGCCAGCGACGCGTCGCAGCAGGAGCTGACCTACCTCAAGTTTGATTTCACGGCGTATACGCTGGGCCAGATCGATGCGGCCAAGGTGCGTGTTTACGTCAATGCCGCTCCTGATGGCGATGTGGCCCTCTCGGCCACCTCTACGGCATCACGAACAACACCTGGTCTGCCGACACCCTGACCTGGAGCAATGCCCCCAACCACGACGGCACTCAGCTTTAGGGCATGAACGACACCGACTACTGGTCGACTGCCAGAAGCCCCTCGTGGGACCCGATCAACGAAGCCTCGTACTATGACTTCGACGCCTCGCCCGGAGACTCCGTCTCCAATGGCACTGTCACCTACACCTCCACCTCGACCGGTCTCACCCTCCCGGTTCTCCAGGATCAGCTGGTCCACTTTGAGACGAAGACGGCCTTCACCTTGCCCTAGGTGGGGCGTACCATGGTAGCTGGTGGCATGGACACCCGCTGCTCTGGAGGAAGTAGTGGAACACACTCAATGTAAATAATTTTATATCCTCCGTACAGTCCCTTAATTCACGAATAACAATTCCCGTGGGCTGTGGACATAGCTTCTAGGTTAATAGAATACCTCTTGTATAAAACTTTGATCGGTGCTGGTAAGATTGCCGGGACCTTTCGGACCACCCAAGCCCTTCATCCTTCACCCACTCTGTCCACTTCAGCTCTCATAAACGAGAGCTGCGTCTCCATGACGTCGCCACAATTCCACCAGAGATCTCCCTCTCTTTCAGATGCGACTCTAGACCTGGCCAAAGAAACAAAAAAATTGAGTTTCCCGAACACGAGCACATCCGTCGTCCGCGACCACAGATAAGCATTCTTCATCCCTTCTGCGGGTTACCCCGCACCATGAAGATGTCAGATAAATGCGTACTACCCCTCGAACAATGTCTGTCCGCTCCATCTTTCACTCCACCCTGCAACGGCAGCTCTTCCTCACCAGAAAAATGGCCACCGTCGCAGCACCCACACACTACGACGCCATCATCATCGGCTCCGGCCAGGGCGGCACGCCCCTCGCCAAGGCCTTCGCCGAGGCCCAGCACAAAACCGCCCTGATCGAACGCGCCCACGTCGGCGGCTGCTGCGTCAACGAGGGGTGCACACCCACGAAGACCATGATCGCGTCCGGCAGGGTCGCGGAGCTGACGCGCCGGGGTCCGGGGTACGGGGTGCATCTGCCGGGGTTGTTGCGGAGCGCCCATGCAGACAACCAGAACCAGATTGCGATTGAGATGGAGAGGGTCCGGCAGCGGAAGCGAGAGATCGTCGACTCGTTCCGGAGCGGAGGGGAACGTCGATTGAAGGCGGCTGGGGTCGATGTCTTGATGGGGGAGGCGAGCTTCGTGGATGGGAGGACGCTGGCGGTGGCGATGCGGGATGGCAGCAGCAAAATGGTTACCGGCGGGACGATTGTAATTAATACAGGGTGTCGGCCGTCTGTTCCGGAGATTGAGAATCTTGATGCGATTCCGCGGGACAGGGTCTTGGATTCGACCTCGGTGATGGAGTTGGACCGCGTCCCCGAGCATTTGGTGGTGGTTGGTGGCGGGTATATTGGGGTCGAGTTCGGGCAGCTGTTCCGGAGACTCGGGGCTAGGGTTACCATCCTCCATCGCGGGACGCAGCTGCTGCCGCGCGAGGATCCGGAGCTGGCGAGGATGCTGCTCGATATCTTCCGGGAAGATGGGGTGGACGTCTTGCTGGAGACGATACCCGTTCGTCTTCAGCCGGTCGCCGACGACAGTTTTGATCTTTCGATCACGTCAAAGCAAGGCGACCGAGTCCTAAGTGGCGTGTCACATATCCTCTTCGCGGCTGGGCGCGTACCGAACACTGAACAACTAAATCTAGATGCAGCAGGTGTGAAGACGGATAAAAGGGACTATATTACCACCAATGAATTTCTGGAGACATCTGTGCCTTCTATCTATGTGTTGGGTGATGTCAAAGGCCCTCCTGCGTTCACGCATGTCTCCTACGACGACTTCCGGATCCTCAAGTCAAGCCTCCTAGCAACCCACCCGCCAGCGGCTAAGCAGTCAACCAGAGGCCGGTTGATCCCCTATGTGGCGTTCACTGACCCTCAGTTCGCGCATGTGGGATTACACGAGCACGAGGCACGAGAGAAATATCCCGACAAGAGGATCCTCACTGCGCTGATGCCGATGAGCTATGTAGCACGGGCCTTGGAGATCGACGAGGTCAGAGGAGCCATGAAGGCGGTCGTTGATGGAGAGAGCAAGCTCATCCTGGGATTCTCATGCTTGGGAGTCGAGGGCGGGGAGCTGATGAGTGTCGTGCAAATGGCCATGGCGGGGAATTTGTCGTATGAGAAGTTGCAGGATGGTATCTTTGCACATCCCACTCTTGCAGAATCCTTGAATAATCTTTGGGCGTTTTTGAAGTGATTCGTCGCCGGCGGAAGTTATTTATTGTGTCATTCGCTAGCCGGTCGCCCCTATATATATTACCGGGGCAAGCACTGGTTCCATGTTTTGGGTACACAGCGGAACTGCTGACTACCATGAAACTTCAGCACGAAAAAAGCTAAACAGGGACTGAATAGGGAGATGCTCGTTTGAACTATTGTGTGACATTAGTTCCATGTCCTAAATACTGAACGATTTGCGCGGTGAGAAGAGCAAAAAGGCGGCAAAAAGAATGACCAGACTGGGGCTCGATCCCAGGACCTTATCGGTGTTAACGATACGTGATAACCAACTACACCATCCGGCCAATTGTGTGTTTGTGAAGCAGAAAACAAAGTACAAGTCCCAACCGAGACATACAAATGTCCTGAGATGGAAGCCGGAATCATACTATGAGTGAGGCTAACCTATGTCCTGATTTTCGAAACGTAGCCAGCATTGTTGATCTGAGGTTCATGGAGGTGTAGAAAGCTTCCGGATACGTAGGGACAGGGTCTAAGCCCCGCCCAGGCGCTATATGACTGGGCCATATTGTTGTATTGTTGTAAGCACTTATCACCGGCGGCCACCTGAGTGGAGATTGACGCTCGTACCTGGACATCCCTTGTTACGCACGGCTCATCTCTCTTATACGTAGCGATGGGACGGACTTTGAGGCTTGCATGGCCCCATATAGAAGACTACTCAACAGCAACGAGCAGGACCGAGGACGACCTGGAAGTTCTGGTGTCCTAGGACCTCGAACCGAACAGTTCGCCCTGGGTTCTTTGTCCTACCTCATAAACTACGGCTTTGAGGTTTCCGGTGACCGATGTCTTACCGAGGATTCAATGAGCATGAGCGCAAAGCTGTGGAGTTCCTGCAGAATATGGAGTTTCCGACATTAGATGGTGATCCATTGCTAGACAAGATCATCAGCAAATGTTGGCATAACACGTATGCTATGATTGGGAAATTGGCCGCATGCACAGAGACGCTCTTGCCTGGAAGAACCAAATGCAGAGAGACCGAAGCCAAAAACCCATGCACACCGCGCTGGTGTATGGTTATCGGCCGCATTGTTCGTGGGCTATGGAAACGTTTCGGATCTTGGGGGGATTTTGTGCTCGGTCGCACCAGCCAAACAACCCAGCCTGAAGTGGCTAGTGGTGGAAAACTGGACGGCCATAGCCGTGGTGGCATGGGTCAAAACGACTTGGCGGATATCTCTTCCAAAAAGAATTTTCTGCCAGAACCTGGAGAAATGCGGACTTCTTCAGATGCCTACATCAGGAGAACCAGATTGCGATCAAACAGAAATGCAAAGTGGTCTCGGACAACCGACAAGGGAGAAAAGCATATCACCCTGTGGGCATGAAGCTTAGTTAGCAAGGTAAAATATAGTGGATATTCGGAAGCGGTGAAGCTAAGCAGCGGCTACGTTGACTTACTGTGTACTACTGAGTTCTCCGTACGGAGTACTAACTTACTGGGTAAGTTAGTTACTGATAGGTATCTACTGTGTAGTTACGCACACCCGTGTTCCAGGCCACGGATCCAAAGTAGGAGGAACCACTTTGCACCTTTTGTTTTGTTTGCGGTGTTTGCATCGGATACTTTTCTGCCGGATTCAAGTCGAAGCGAGACCTGATTTCGGCTATGGAATACATAGACGGAAATGTAACGCGTAAAACAGCCGTAAAAGAGCTTTTCCTGATGCCGGATCAGCTAAACGCAAATTCTCACACAAAGTGCCAATTCTGGACTCAGACGTTCCGAGCGACGGACCGAAAGAGCGTCACGGGGAAGTCGAAATGGGATGTTTCCGCGATGAAGATCTCCATGGACGAAGCCCCGTGAATGGATATAATGGATAGCAATCACAAGCTGCGCCGCTAAGACTCGAGCCACCTCAGCTGGAAAAGGCTGATCCACGGTCCGTTCTTTGCATCAGAAAGAGTCATCCTTGCCGGCCCAGTCACCAAATAGAGGTGTTCGCCATTTGGGCCTTGAATGTTGAATTTATCCAAGATTGAAGGGATCATAGTTCTGCCTATGTCTGATAACAAGGGAGGTTTCGAGAGTTTCGATATGACGTCAGTTTCGGGCGGGTTCGAATATGCCGTACAGACTCTCATTGCGACGTATATGCGAGATCGCCCATCTCGGGCCAGCCAAATCGTCGAGCATGTCCCATGCCCAAGCTGATGGATAACCCGATAGCGATCGTGGAGACGATCTCCGATTGTTACTGGGTGATAGCCACCAGGCTGATAGTATTCCATTTTTTCCGCATCTTCAATAGGCTCGTACAGAACACGAGTGGGGTTCAATGTTGGTACCGTCAGTTTGAACGTAGCTAGAGAAAATGCACGAGAGCTTTGACCGTGAAGATATAGTGGGGTTGCGTTCTTTGAGAAGAGACCACGACGAGGAAGAAGTCCGGGCGAGAGCAAGGGCCTAGGGAGTAAGATGCACAGTTGTCTCATGTTCTTTTTTTTCTTTTTTATATCTTGTCTTTCTTAAGCAAACAAGGCCTTGTTATTTCGGAGTGAATGGCCAATTACGTTAGCCTTATCTAACACGTAGAGGAACGCTCCTTAGGTACTACCAACAATCCTTTGACAGCTCATCAGTCGAATGTGAACGGTCCGTAGCCATGAGCTCGGTGATCTAGATCAATGGCAAGAATGTCTTGCAGGAAGAGATCAAGCGGCAATGCCCTCAGGGAACTTTATAAGAAACCCGCACGGGGACAGCAGGTCGCCAATCGACGCTAAACCAGATTCAGGCTGTGACCCGCGACCAGAAGGCGCCGGGCTAGTAGACCACCTAAAGTACTGTATAGTTAGCTGCTACAGGTTTGCGTAAAATGGTGCCCGCTCACTCACCCGACCGTGCAACTTGGGCAGGGGCCAGTCCGTCAGATTAAGGCTCGCAGCCCAGCTTCTCACCCACCGCCACACCTTTGCCTCCCTGCTTCCCAAGAGAGCTAGACAACTAGTGAAAAATTGAGTTAGTTAGTCGGTCACTGGACCGGCGCCCATGTGCTGACGCTGCTCCTTGAGAAGCTAAGATCGGCGACGAATGGCCCTCTCACCCCGCGTTTGCTGCCGAACCCCAGCCCGTGTGAAACCTTCCCGGTTTTGCTGTTTGTGTGAGCCTGTGAGGGAAAGAGAATCGGATGGAAATCGAGAGAAACCCCGAGGTTTTAGAATCTCTTCCTAAGCAAAATTAGGACTAAGAAATATACATTACACAAAAGAAAAAAACAGCGTGGGGGCATATTCAGCGGTCATGTGACGATCGCGCTCACCACCGCACAATGCGGACTTGCGACGACTCGGACGCCCCGATGGTCATGTCAGGTTATAGTAGTCTACTGCATCTGTGACCTGAGCGGCGAGAAGTCTCGGGGAGCGATTCGGGTACAATTCAAGTCCAAGCCGTCAGTCAGCAATCATGTTTGCCATCCTAGACCGGGATTGTGCTCATCCGCTCCCGGATTGAGGCAATAACCAGGATAACTTAGCAGCAACCCGGCAGAGCGCAGCGAAAAGGCAGCCAAAGTCAAGAGGCTAGTGAACAACCCCGGTTGTGATTCGCTGCCGAAAATCCCCCCAGGATTCTAGTTGGTGACCCCGGATGTAACTTATACATGTCACCTTCCAATTATTAGTCAGTGGGGTCACGGCAAGACCGAAACGGCGAAAACCACCGCCAGACCGGAGGGACGGAGCGACAGCGAGCAAGAAAAGCTTCCCGGACACGGCACAGTCCTCAACGAAAACCTATCGGCTTTTCGAGGCTAAGAGGGAGAAATTGGTCAGGACAGCCTTTCGCATGTCAGCCACATACATCATTACCCTTGATTGTAGGCCGTTTGTCTATTGAGGTGGGATTACGCTCTCCATCTCCGGCTTTTGTAACAGAAGGCCAAAAACCTTGTCTTTTGAGCCGCCAATCAGGTGCGGTGGTTCTACCCTGGAACTTTGGGAGGCTTTGTGGTAATATCATGGTCGACCACGTTCCAGCGACTACCAGCGATCTGGGGATCCGGGGTATGTCCGATTTCTGGAGTATCTGGTCTGTGTGTGCGTGTGTGGAATGTGGAGGTTGCGGAGAAGAGCAGAGAAGCAGGAGCCCAGGCGCTTTGAGCGCCGGAAGTGGGGTTGCGGCAAAAGCCACCAGCCGCCCAATCCTGCAGCCAGCCAAGCCCTAACTGGGTGTCAGATGGGCATACGCTCGTATGATCGGTCTCGTTGCTAGTGCTGACAACGCTACGAGACCGTGTCCCCATGCCCTTTGTATGTACATACAGTACGGAGTACTGTAATTACCCCACGGGGAGGTAGGGTGAATGAATTTGCCTATATGCGGTGAATGAGCCACTTCTTTGTTTTGTTACCCCCCTTTAGTTTCTTCTTAAATTCCCATGAGGTTTTCGTCAGGACAGATCTTCCCCAGACCAACTTTCCTCTCATCCGCCTCAGACTGATCCATCCACCATGAACGAAAAGACGTCTGCGGACGTGGTCTCTCACAATGAGAATGTGTTCCCGATCACCAAGCCCGAGCTGCCTCACGCGGCTCGCGGACCAGCCCTCAATCTGATCGAGAACCCCCTGACGGTGAGCATCGCACGTGCTGAACTTGTGATTTCGGGACGCTGACTGTTCATCTCGCTGGAAGCGCAAATCTCCGGAGCAGGTTGTTCTCGACGCTCGCGCGTTCGCCGACACCCACGACATGTCCGAGCACGCCGATCTCCTTGGTCGTGCTGCCCTGGTCGCGCGGGACCCTCAGCGGTTCGAGTCGATCCCGGAACTCAACGACCAGGAACGCGCTGCGCTCGTCTACGAGAGAGATCACAAATGGCATGGCCCATTCATGCTCTGGTACTCGATTGCCTTGTGTGCGATCGGCGCTGCGACACAAGGTTGGGATCAGACCGGGTCCAACGGTGCGAACCTCTCTTTTCCCCAGGAGTTTGGCATCGCTGGGGATGGCAAAGATGAATGGATTGTGGGACTGGTCAACGCCATCATTTTCTTGACGGCTGGGATGATGTGAGTGTCGAGAGTCCCCAAAATTGCTTTTTTCGCTGCTTTGCAGGACTGATTTGTGATCTTGGCAGTGGCGCCTTCATTGTCGATCCACTCA